CAGGTAACAGTTTCATTACACGGGCAGCTTCCAGCTTGTCACCATTCCCCGAGGAGCCCTTCAAACTAGCAGCAACTTGCCCTGGCCTCCTGTCTGCGTCCGACAGGCCTTGCCCCTGGGCCATTCTGGGCCCCTGTGCCACTTCACTTATTTTGCACAAGAATGGGTGTAGTACCTGCCAGGATACAGGACTAATATCTGTGCAGGGCGCACCCCCTCCTCCGGAATGGATACCACAGAACAAGCCATCTTACCCCTCCCCCCAGTTCCACCTCCTTCATCCCCGGGGCCCCTTTTCCCCTCCATCCTTCCCCATTTCTCCAGAGCGTGGCTTCGGAAACCTGGGGCAGAGGAGAGGGCTGCAGCAAGAAACCATGACCCTGTATGCCTGCCTACTTTGGACTCTGCCTTAGTTTCCCTCCTGGAAAATGAATATTATCCACATCTGCCAACTTCCTGGCTCACAGCAGCGCGTGTGGTTCTAATACTTGCTTTGTGGCTGGCATAATATGTGTCCCATCTCTGGGTTGTCATGACAGCCTTGTGAAGCACAGTGTTCATGGAGCAGGCTTTGCAGATGGGGAAACTGATGCCCAGAGAGAGAGGGAAATGACTCATTCAAGGCCACACAGCATGTAGTGGCGGAGCAGGGCCAGAAACAAGTCTCCCAGCCCGCCCTGGCCAGGACACCAGTCCTTCGTGGCGACGACGGCACGGTACACAGAGGACCTGCACCCTGAGTGTGACTGCTGCCCACGGATCCTGAGGAACATCAAAGAAAAGGAGGGCAGAGAAGCCTTAACGAGTTGGTTACCTTTATGCTTAATTACTACACATCTAATTACACTGCTGGGCTCATTAATGTGTCAAACTTTGTTTTATGTGTTCATAGGGTGAAAAAGCAGCACCCCGCAGAGTGTGGGCCCACGGGCTGTGTGTAATGAGGAAAACTCTTGACGAAGGACTTGCTGCTGACCTGCTGGACGTGTGTGCAGTGCTTCCCGGGCACCGAGGGGACCCTCACAACCTGCCCCACAGGCAGCCTTGTTCCCATCTCACAGATGAGAAGACAGAGGCCCAGAGAAGTGACCTGACTGGCTTGTGGCCAGGCTGGGTTCAAACCAAGGTCTGTCCCACCCCAAAGTTGAGTTTCCCTCCCCTCCTGCGTGACACTGGCTCCTCACAAAGACACCTAGGGCTCACTAGTGAGTGACTCCGTTTCCTCTCAGTCGAAGCCTGCCTCTGGGTTTCTGCGTTCCCTGACGAGAGAGGCCCCCCTCTGTCCCAGGGGCCAGCCTGCATGGCACAGCAGGAGGACCTGTGCAGAGTCAGAGCCTTTCCTTCGGAGGATCCAGTCCCCCCAATGGGGAGGAAGAGCCCTCAGACCCCGGAGACTCCCGAGTCCCCAGGGAGCAGCTGCTCTGGAAGCCGAAGGAGGGGCGCTGGGGCAGGGCCAGCCGGGAGCAGCACAGCGCTGCCCGGCCCGGCCGCCTCTCCTCCAGCTGGTTGTGCAATCCGGCTATGAATAGGCCTAGGTGTGTGGTGTGGTGCCAGGGAGGCCAGACTTGTTTCCTTTGGGTGACAACTCCCCTCTGGAATTCTGGGAGGTGAGGGAGTGCAGCTGTCAGGTCAGGCTGCTGACCCCGAGGCGGGGCGGTCCGAGCTGGTGGCGTGAGGGGAGGAGCCCGTGGCCAGACTGGATGGGCAGGTTGGCAGCATGACTCTTGAGCGTGCTGGCACCACGCTGGGTGTTCAGCTCGGAGTGTCCAGAGCTCTTTCTCCCTCCCTGGCAGTCAGCAGCCACCCCGAGTTCACCTCCTAAGGCCCTCTCCCACCCCCCACCCCTCACGCCCACCAGGCCCTCATTACCTTAAAACAGTGTTTCCAAACTTCTCTCATGATGAGAATCACCTGGTGGAGTTGTTAAAATACAGATTCCTGAGTCTTCAGCTTAGAGCACTAGTTAAGTATACAATTTTACCTATATGTTCCCCAAAATTCTAGTTTAGCACTTCTTGGTTGAGATTCAGGAATCTGTAGTTTAACAACTCCACCAGGTGATTCTCATCGTGAGAGAAGTTTGGGAAACACTGCCTTAAAACAAAGGAGCTCAGAGGGTGGGGGGAACAATGGGCAATTTCATTCTTAAAACATCATAAATGTTAGGCTGTGGGAAATCAGGGATTCTCACATTTTGTGGGTGTTCTGAGTTGGTACTTTGAAGGGCAATTTGCTCAATCTCTTCTCAGCCCTGGAATTGTGTGTGGGTGAATATATATATATATATATATATATATATATATATATATATATATATTATTCCCTGACCCAGAAATTCCACATTTGGCCATTAGTCCTACACAGATTCTTGCACGTGTATGTAATACCGGTATATGTTTTAAGGTTATTCACTGCAGTGTTGCTGATGATAACAACTGTTTAGGAACAGTTCAATATCCAGTGTCTATCCACAGAGCACGACTGGTTAAATGAGTTATAATACATTAGTACCATGGAGTACTGTGCAACTATGAAAACATCTCCTCTACTGGGAGGAAATCATTGCCAAAACAAGATGCCCAAGAGGGTGCATAATGTAATGTTTTGTGTAATAAAAGGGGGGGATTAGAATCTGTTTTTATGGATTGTAGGTGCATAAGAAAGTCTGGAAGGTACACAAGAAACTTTGGAGTGGGAGGAAGTAGGGAGAGAACTAGACAGGGATGGGAAGAAAACATTCCCTGCTTGTATATATGCCCAGTGCATGAATTCGTGCATGGGTGGGGTCCGGCCAGCCTGGCCAGGGGGAGGGGATATGGGCGCTTGGCCGGCCTGCCTGCTGGTCAAACTCCTGGTCAAGGGGACAATTTGCATATTAGCCTTTTATTATATAGGATATACACTGAGTGGCCAGATGATTCATTGTTCAGAGATCATCATAATCTGGCCACTCAGTGTATATGCTTTCTGGCTTTTGAATCATGTGAAGTCATTACCTTTCAAAATACTTAAAAATACAGTGCAACCAAATGAAGATAAGTCTGACCAAAATACCCCACAATCCAATTGCCAGAATACAAGGGACGTATCTCACCTGGGGACCCCCGTCCTCCTTAGGAAAGTTGCCCAATGGTTTGGAAGATGGACCCTCCTCCTCCTGGGAGAAGCCATGGTTCCTCATGCCACCTGCCAGCTGGGGCTTGGACATCAGTGGCTCCAGTGCTCTCTGCCTTGGAATGTGGAGGGAATGACTGAGGAGCTGTTACAGATCATCCCTGGTGGGCATGCTGAGGTCCCGAGCCCACTGTTAAAGCCCAAAGTGTCCAGCACAATTAGTATTTCAATTTTTGCATTTTACCTCTTAGTACCTCTGTCCGGCCATAGTTCACACAATTTCGTTTCTTCAGATCTTAAACACTGTTAATAGTTTTCTCCTGGGATGTGAGTGAGGAAGGACCTCTCTCCCTCCAGCTCCAATGTCTCGTTCTCCAAGCCCAGCACCTCTTGGACGGGGATGGAAGCTGCCCTCTTCACCGCAGGCGGAGCTGAGAGGCAGCCGGGCACCACCAGCTCCCCCCCCCCCCCCCAGCTCCCCATTCCCCCCCTTCCCCCCCCTCCCCCCAGCCATCTCCATACCTTCCTAGGTCCCAAGTGAGGGAAGTGCCTGGCAGACGGTGACTATGGATTCTACCTCCCTCCACCTTGGACGGCTGTATTCCAGCGAGGCGTGGGTGACCTGGCTGATGCATGTCACATTTGCTGGCTTAAAGGTTTGCCTTCATTACTTGAATATGTGCAAAAGCAAATCCCTAAAGTATGTGAGAGATTAGCCCAAATTCTTCCTCTTTTAAACACGAAGCTGACGCAGGCAGAGTCAGCAAGAATTAGTGCTTTATTCACCACAGTGCAGCAGACAGAATATACCCAGAGTACAAACTCACGGAGGGCAGGGCCAGGGGCCTAGTTCTCCCGGTGCCCATCACAGGGTCTGGCCACCGTGACCCTTGAGATCAACTTAGTAATTGTTGTGAACTTTATCAATTAGTTGAATTTTTACTTGATTTGGGAGCACTCTCTCCTGAGAATCTTGCTATAGCTAGTGTTGGATTTCCATCCTTAACCTTTTGGGAGACAGAATCAAAATTGGGAAGCCGTCTCAAATGAAGTATGTTCTCCCAGCTGGCTTGGGTGTTAGACGATGATGAGTTTGTATCTTTACAGGTAATTAAAACAATGGTAAGGGCCAACTTAGAAAAGCATGACTCTCTGCCAATGTAGACTTTATCCCAAAAGGTAAACTTTAAAATCATTTTTATCTGCTTGACCTGACATAAAAGTCCATCATGTGGTCTGAGCTTTTGAACCTAAGGGGTTCAAAAGGCGTTTCTAAGGGGTTTCTAAGAGCTGAATCATTTTTATAACATGTCTATCAAAATAAAAATAGAAAACATAACCCAGGCTACTAGGAATCATTTTACAGTAGGGTGGAGTTCCTCCTAACTTGACTGAGAGGCCCTACACGCACAAACATTGGAAATACTCATGCTGTTCCCACAAGAAGCTTGAGGTATTGTCTGTCTTTCGATAAGCAGGAGGGCACGGCCCATGACCAATGTTCGTCGGCCAGACTCACATGAAGACTCTCATTAGGGCTCAACTCTGACAGGTCAAAACCTCTGATGCTTAGTGAAGGCAGAGAACCTAGGACCCGCCTCCCTGCTCAAAAGCTCCCCCAGGCAACATGACTCAGTGCACAGCCACAATGGCCACCGATCTGCTCTTACTGAACCGCCTGGTTGTCTGTGGAGATCAGAAGTGGGCCAGAGAAAAGGTCTGCTGGACTCACGGGGTTGATCTCAGGATAGCGGCACGTGGCTTTGTGCCTCTCCCAGCCTGTGAGGTCCCCGCACGCTCGGGAGGACTGTGAGACAAAACCCGGCTATTTCACTCCTGGAGTTAGAGAAAGGGGGAGGGAGAACAAAAGACTTCTTGGAGCAAAGTAAAGTGTCATCGATGCTTTATTTACATGCGTCAACATCTCCTTTACAAACTAGATTATGGTTTTAAATGGAACACACAAGGGAATATGTACAAATGCCAAGGAAAGCAAGGACTGTGTCTCTATTTCATTTGGAAAGGGGCAGGTTCCCAAATCAAACTGGCTCTGATTCTTGAAAAGAAAGATGGCAGAGTTATTAATTCACGGCAACATATGGCTAGACAAAATCCTCAGTAAGATGCAGCGGCATAGTGCTTGCTTTGGAAGAGAGGACGAGGCGCTTCAAACCGAAGTACTGACTGCATGCCTCTCTGGGTTTTGAACGTGGCCACAGGCCATAGTGAAGTCTAGTTGTATGTGGTATGAGCAAGAAATTGGAACAGATAAGACAGTTTTACAGATACTGTATACAGGTGTTTTTTTTCCCATTCATGCAACTTTTTTTTTTTTTCTTAAAAAAAGTTCAACATGTGAAGCCAAAAAACGCACAATACATTTTTAAAAAATATTAACTAAATTTTCTGGTCCTCCTTCACACCTGTTTACATCTCGCGTGTACGTCATGTGCTAGGACAAGTACACCAGAGAAGACTGATTGCCAGGCAATGAGATACTTTTGGAGAAATCGGTGACCAGACACACGATTTTTAAAAGCAGCCGCACGTGTACTTCTGGAGTGTGGCAGAGGCTTTGTCACCTACCATTCCCCAAAGGAAAAATACATACAAAATTAGACAAGAGGAAAAGTTCTTCATTCATTACAACTGCATAAAACGTTACCCACTAAAGATTTAGATAAAAAATAATAGATTCTTCAATTCCCTGGGCATCTGCTCTCAGACCTCACTGGACAGGCACGACCTCACAAGGCCTTCGCTTTGCCTGCCACCACGAGAGGCTGGCTTTTTCGTACCTCTTCGCCAGTGATTGCATTTTTTTTTTTTAATTGCTTCTCTTAATAATAATAATAAAAAACACCACAATGCCTAATCATACCATGTTCCTCAAATACAGCAGGAAATGGGAAACCAGAGGTCAGAGCTGCCAGGGTTTTGTTCTGCATTCGGAGAGAAAGGGCAACCTTTTTAGTTTCCCTCCCCGGCCTTGGCATCCATGCTGGAAACAGAGCTGGCTATGTGACCGCGTTTCTTCTGACAATCCTAAGATCCGAATGTTCCTCCTTCTTTACGTGGGGAGGGGTTCACGAGGTGGTGAAGTCTGTGCCTACCCTCGTGGCCAGGTTTGGAAGCCTCCTGAAAGGATACCTGAGACTGGGCATTGTCTGTCCTGGGCAGTGAGCTCAGGGAGGGGAAGTGACACATATGTAATGTCAAAACTCAACACCACACGCACAAAGTCCTCCTCGTGCCACACGTGCCTGCACAACACTCCCGCGGGCAGGAAGTGTGCTTTAGCAATCACGGCAGAGGATGTGCGAGGGGAAACATTCACAGTTGGCGGGGCACCCGGCACCGGCACTCGGTCCCCACTCCGGGGCGGTGAAAGCTTGTGAGAAAGCTCTTCTCCGGCTTTGGTAAAAGGCTCTGGAGTCCTGAGGAGAACAGCAGAGCCACAGGACACGTCATGCTTTCTACATCAGTCACTCTTCTACTTTCCCATCAGGAAGGGGAAGGCCTCCCGGAGCAGCTGATTTGGAGGCCGAGGGTAGCCTCAGCGTTCTCACCAGGATGCAGCCATGACAGCAGCCGGCCCTGGAGGCCACTGAGCGTTCCTCTGAGGTGCTCCGAGGTGAGGGGCCCACAGCACTCAGAACCCCACATGGTGGCCAACAGGTGGTCCTTCCTGAAAGCAGGTCTGGATGTATCGGTGAGAGACAGAGGGCTGGTGTGGACCTCTGCCCAGTCTGACCACGTTAGCACCTGCTGGCCTGGGGGAGGCTGGCCTCCGGATGGGTGGGCTGCTGGGATCTTGGGTGGGCCTAATTATCCCATCTGACCTTCTCCTGGGACTGATGCTGGCACTTGACTTTACCCTGACAGCTCTCCACAACTCTCTACATGTAGATGCGGTAACAACAACAAAAATAATCCAGGCACCCCTTCCCCTCCGTTTTCCTGCTCTGCTCTGCGGCTGCCCTGCTCTCGGCCCGCTCTGTCCCTCCCCCATCTGGTTTAAATTATAATCTCATTCTGGGGTGCTCTGGGAGACATTCTGCCTGAAACCCAACAAAATTGGGGGACAAGAGAATAAAGGAGATGTCACATGTCTGAAAAGAATGCAACATTTAAAGTCACAACGCATTTGAGGGTTGCCTTGCTTGCTCCCAATGTAGCTCCCAGGGTTTGTAAAACTGCAAAGGCAAATAGCTGTTTGGTTAGTTTGCTTGTTTCTCTGAACTCAGAGGAGAGATTCTCAGGGCTCTCGTGTTGGAAGCACTTTGGATTCTCCCTTGTATACAACACCCCTCCATGCCTCCCTCCACAGGCTGCTGCCACTGTCTCTGAGCTACACTCCGCAGTGCTGCCTGGGACCCAGGGAGGCAGCCCTCTCTCGCTGACTCCGGACAGTTCTTGTGCACAGCAGACGACCAAAGAACCAAGGAAGCGGCTAGCGTTCTATGAAGGAATATAGTAAGCAGAAGTCTGCCTCACTGACAGGCAGACCATGTGAACAGAATACATTTTCTAAAAATTATACATACTTTTAAAATGAAGATTATAAACGTGTAGCAGTTTAGAAAAAGCGATATGGCTACCGGTCTGCTATAACCACAACGGCACTACCATGTACAGATCCAGTAAAAGGCAAGGCGAAACCAACAGGACCATTGTTCAAACGTGACGACAACCCAAGCGAGGTGGGAGAGACGCGTGACAATACCAAATGGAACTTCCATTCCGCGAGGAGCCGTTATCGCCACCACCATCACCCCCAGAGGAACTACAGAGCGAAGGTGCAGCCCCTGCACCCACCGCCTGGCAGCCGGTGGTGGGTGCAGGGGGTCGGGCGGCACGTCTGTGTGGGTGGAGGGGAGTCGGTGCCCACTGCACGGTGTGAGCGTCGGCGAGAACGCATGCGGGGAGGTCTGTGCTGAAATACTAGCCTGTATTCCTAACGTCCATGCAGAATGCTCCATTTCCGTACTGTACATGATAAAATGTATTTATACACTTATATGCCTAGTGCATTTTATGCAAAGAAAAGAGTCTTCTTATATCACTTTGGAGAAGTATGCATGTGCTGTGCTAAATCAGAGCGTTACACCAGTTTCTTGTGTACCAAAGGTGTTCCCAAACTAGTCTGTGTCTACCAAAGAAGGTTAAGCAGTATAGTCACACGTTCCTGGTTAAACAGAAAGCACCTATACAGCACCGTAACTTTTTTGAAAACAAAACGCAATGAAATCCATAGAAGCAGGAAAGTGGGGGGGGGGGGGGGGGTTAAGTCAAAACTGCCCTACCTTGTACATCCATTGTGTCACTTGGACAATTACCATCTAGGAATAATATAGAGGGGGGAAAAAACCCAGTTTGTATGCTATTGCCTCTCACTCACACACATCTAGTAGATCAGATGACACAGTACAAGGCTGGAGATTATCGAGGGTGTGTGCTAGGTCTCTCCTGACTCGGGTTTGGACTGTTCACCCATGTCTCTCTGTCGGCTTGATGCTCCCCTGCGAGTTCATTTCTTCTGCAAAGCAAAACAGGACTCCTTTTTTTTTTCTTTTCTTTTCTCCTTATAACTAAATCCTTTCATGGCATTTGGCAATTAGTGGACAGCCGAGCTGATGTCTTTCTTGAAAAAAACCTATTTCCTAACCAACATCATTGTTCACTGCATTAGGTCACGATACTGACAGGGGACCACAAACCCTGACGTGGCCCCTGCAGCCCAGGTGCTGGGGTCGCGTCCCCCGACTGCCCTGACTCGGAACCGAAGCACACGGGGCTGGTGGCCTGGTCTGTTGGCTTTCCCTCCGCAGGGCTCGGTCCTGGATGGGTGCGCGCAGCGAACAGTTGTGCCATTGTTCGGTTTTTAGAAAAGGATCCTTTTCTACCAGACAAAAGAAGAAAGAACATCCCCCTCGCGCTTATGTAATCTGTTCGTTTATGGAGTTCCAGGGCGCAGCCGCTCCTGCTGCCCAAAGCCAGAATGGGAACGGGTGGTACGTTTTTCCCTTCTGTTTTTTACATTTGCCTAGGGAAGAATGGTTAACATTTTAACAGAAAAAAATACCGCAAGTTAATGCAAGTGAGAAAACTCAGAAAGCCAAAGGAAAACAAACACACAACAACACTTAAAAACATCCCATACACCATCGTGATAGGAGAACACCACAGAATCGCCCCCGGGGGCCCTGGTGCGCTCTGGCCGAGGCGGGCGGTGCTGGCGGGGGCTGTCCTGCGCGGGCAGGCGGGCGGCGCATCGTCAGGTACGAGGAAGATGTGCATACTTTGTGGAGAGAGTTCTGTTCCAGGGTGAGTGCTTCATCCAGGGGGGGGGGGGGGGGCATTAACAGTCTCTGCTGGGCCGGGAGGATGGCGTGGGGCTCACAAAGGGGTAAGCTGTAAACGGTGTCACTGTCCATTGCTGAGAGCAGATTTGGCAAAGGGTTTTCTCTGTAGGTCTTGTGTCAGTTTGAGGGTCTGGAGGAGGAAGAAAGAAAACCAGAGATGATTAGAGACGTCCGGATGGCGAGAGGGGCAGGCACCTCGCGGTCACCCGCCATCGGCCTCCCAGGACCCGCCCGCCTCCGAGCCCAGGGCACGCTCAGTGAAGCTGTTCGAGGTTACACCAGCTTCGAAGGCCTCAGACCCCGAGGATGAAGCATGGGGATGTCAATTTGCCTATTTCTCTGCTTGGTTACAAAACGTTCTCGAGTTTGCCAAAGCTCAAAGGAGATGTGGGGTCGTTCACTTGGGAGGTTTACAAAGACGAGAATGTAGGGGTGTTTTGATGTTAGGGATGTTGGGGGTGCAGCTGGGATGTTGCTCTAGAGTTCTGGGCCCGGGATTCCCTGGGAGACAGGACTTTTATGCTAAGCCCAGGGAAGGGGTCACCCTAAGCGGACCAGCTATGCTCTTCTGGGGTCTCTCCCACTGGCGCTGAGGACTCTGCTTACCACCCTTCCATGAAGACCCCCAAACCAGGGGAGGAATGGTCACTTTCCACAAAAGCTTAAATAAGTCTACACTGCTGGGCGGGAGTCATCTTGACTCCCCTATTAAAAAAGGAGTACGTGGGCTGTCTTAGGAATTTGGTTTTTATATTAAAAATCTACTGAGGCAGCTGAGCCAGTGGTTGAGTGTCGACCCATGAACTGAGAGGTCACCAGTTCGATTCCCAGTCAGGGCACATGCCAGGGTTAAGGGCTCCATCCCTGGTGGGGGGATGTGCAGGAGGCAGCCGATCCGTGATGTTTTTCTCTATCCCTTCCTCTCTCTAAAAAAAACCCACCCCAATTAAAAAAAAACAAAAAAACTACCGAGGTTGAAAAATATATCGTACACATATGACAAAAAACCACCTCTCATAAAACATCCCTTTAACGATTAACATTATTATTTTGTCTCTAACAGTATTCAGTGGTAAGGCACAAAAGAGGTCCTCTCAGAGGATCTAATTTACCAAGTTTTATCAGATTTCATTGCGACGACGGAGCCTGGAAAAGTGAGAGGTTATTTTATAAAGTATAGCTGATCCCTGAACAATGTGGGATTTTGGGCGTCAAGCTCCCAATGCAGTAAAAAATCCAGCTAGGCTCTAGACGGTTTGGCTCAGTGGACAGAGCGTCAGCCTGCACACTGGAGTCCTGGGTTCGATTCCCGTCAAGGGCACATGCCCATGTTGCGGCTCTGTCCCCGCCAGTGTGAGGTGTGCAGGAGGCAGCCAATCGTTGATTCTCTCTCATCATTGATATTTCTATCTCCCTCTCCCTCTTCCTCCCTCCCTGAAATCATATATATATATATTTGGGAGACCTTTGACTACCCAAAATAACTAATAGCCAATAACATAAATAGTTAATTAACACATAACTTGTAAATTATATGTATTAATATGCTGTACTCTCACAATAAAGTCAGCTAGAGGAAAAAAGTTAGGAAAATCATAAGAGAAAATATGTACATATATGTATTACATGCATTCGTGACATGGCTTCAAAAATTTATTTTTACATTCCTAAGCTATGTGGTTCATCTGCAAGTATTTTCAAATTGCGGCAAATCTCCAAAAACATTTTCCCAATATATTTACTGAAAAAAATCCACGTATAACTGGGTCCGTGCAGTACAAGCCCATGGTGTTCAAGGGTCCACTGTATAGAGATGTAGCCATAGGAACTGACATGATAGGTCTCTAGACGTAAAACTGTTTATGGAGACAGTGTCAGCTGTTGTGGTAGTAAAAAAATGGCTCCAGGCCAAAAAACGGAGAGAAAAGTGGTAGCAAAGCAACATGAACTCCAGATCTGCTCCCCAGATAAGGTGAGCCAGTAATGAAAAATGCATCAATAAGCCCGATCACACACACGGACATCTGCTCCCCCTCCTCAGAGATACCATCGTGAGCTCATGCGGAGTTTTCACAAGTGCGCTTGTGACTTCATCTCTTCTGTGACTGCACCAGTTGGCAGCCTGACCGTTCACTACGGATGTGCCAAACCCAAACGATAGCCGGGCTTGGTATGTGTAATGTTACACACCCTTGGTCACAGCTCCCCGGGTCACAGCCCCAAAGACAAGGACTGAGGTTGCTTTACCGGCAGCAGAGACAAAAGCAGGAAAAGAAGGCCTGTCTTCCCCCACCTGCAGCACTTGGTTTCCCCAGCAGACGGCTTTTCTGGAGCTATTCCTTGCTTTGTTAGGGTAGGAGACAATTTACCCTGGACTACAAAATAATGGCCTGTTGATTTCAGAGGGGAAAGGCTAAACAAGACACCAGATCTGTATCTGTGAGGAACTGAGCCTTCAAGAGCTGGTGGGATTACAGCACCTCCACCCTGGACCCCTGAGGCATGAACAAAAGCGGGTGTGAGTAGGGCTCTTTAGACGGGGATTTGGTTTTCTCCTTCACAATAACACTTAATAAACCACAACCTAACATCACTATGCAATTAGTCATCAGGGGACTTTGGTCCCCAACTCTCCACCCTGAACTACCAAGGGAGAAGCTTTGAAGTGTCACCTAATTCAGACCCCATCCCCCGGTTCCCTTTGGTGTTAATTATCCAGCTGGGATGGTGACACATTTCTTCCACACGTACACAGGCCAAGCACACAGCTTGCTCTGATGTTGGCTCAGCACAGGAAGGAAGGAGGTGGAGGGCCCCAATAGGGCATCATTCTGGGCAGAACAGGCATCTGCCCTGAAATCTGGGCAGGAGGGCCACCTGGGCACAACCAACAACAACCCTGAGGCCAAATTCCTATTCCTTCATCAAAGGCCCAGAATCTTCAGGAAACATCATTAAAAAGGAGATGGGTGGGTCTCACCTTCCCTTCTTCCTGAATGGCGCTAGGTGCTGGGGGAACCCCTCCACCCTGTCTCACAGGTGCGCCTCCCACCTGGTGCAGAAACTACCTGCGCCTGGAGAGTAAGCCAGAGAGGCCCAGGCCCAGGCCCAGGCGTAGAGGCCGCTCTCAAGCAACTTTTGTACAAAAACTCCCACTCCACACAACAGAGAGGCGACCCGTTTTCCCTGTCAGGGGAGGCAAACAAATCGTAAAATAGTGTGAAAACAGCAAGGAACCAGGTGAGTGCTGAACAGGTACATCAGCATCCTTCCGAGAGGAAAACCAGAACCAGCCTTCGTGAGGAAGGCCGGATGACCGAAAACAGCCAGAGGAGAGCAGCTCCCCACCCGCCATAGATGTACGGCCACTCTCTGGTGGGGCGATGTCCGCATGTGCATCTGACTCCACCAAGGACTGAGGGAACGAGGGAGCACGCTGAGGAGTGAGCTCAGCCGCTGAGCTGGGAATGTAATGACTCTCGGGTTAGGTACAAGTCTCCTGGATTTCAGTGAAGACCCCACTCGGTTCTTACGGTGTCTGAAGAGGGATGTCGTAGTTCACTGTGAGGCTCGCGTGGATAAGCTAATGCTCTGCTAAGTTTAAAAACACGTCAGATGAAGCAAAACTTGTAAGGGAAAGAAAGCGTACAGCTGAAGGGAATTACAGCTATCACTTTACAGTTCCTAGGCAACAGGCCAACGAGCAAGAAATATGGAAATGTGCTGTCCCGTCAGTGACTTTCATTATCAGGAGAAGATCCCCCTCTCTCCCTCCCTGCCCAATAAATAAGTTTGAAACTGGGCTGTTGATGCAAGGAAAACACAACGGGGAGGCCCCAGGAGGAGGCCCATGGACGCTGTCATCTGGCCGCTGGTGAGAGTCAGTCCCTCTATCGTCTTGGCATCTGTAGGGAAGGCAAGTTTCTGCCTAATTAGCACCACTAGATCACATGGTGTTCCAAGAACGGGCAACGCCCCCAAAAAACTCGGCACAAAACATAACAAACCAATCAACTTTCATCTGGGAATAAAAACATCGATGTTCCTACTGCCGTCTTCCCACAGAGTGACTCCCAGGTGGCGGATCTGGGTTTTCCAGTCTGTTTTTTTTTTTTTTTTTATCTTCCCGGCAGAGAAGAAAAGAACAGGACCCCAATACCAAATATGTCCCCAGAGGGGGGAAAAAGGAGACATCCACAAGCCCAGGAAGGTTATCGATTGCTCTCCTTGCTACAACGAAAATGTGCCGGAGGAAAGTCTGCCCGGAAAATAAAATCAAACACCCTTTCCCTCACTCTTGAAACATTCGGATAATTTAAAGCCAAACTGGCAACCCCGGGGGCAAGCCGGGGACTATAAATATGAGCGTTCGGGACAGAAAAGAAAACGAATGGACGCTCACACAGCCTGACAGTGGAGTTCGGAGAGCAGGGCTGCATTTCAGAGCGTGGCTGTTTCTGCCCGCCTGCCACCCCCTCTGCGCTGCCCCCGAGGGAGCCGGGGGTCACCCCATTCACAATGAGCCATAGCCACCTGCCCGCACCCACCAAGGATTTTATAGCTGGTGTCACCCTAGGAAAAAATAGCATTTTTTTTTTTTTGGGGGGGGGGTCCTTGGGTAAGGCAGCCACATGTATTTTTGGAACACGCAAATGGAGGCAGTTCCCTTGGAGGTCACCTTCACAGGCAGAGCATGCAGCAGCTCCAGGCAGCGTGTGCACGGACACACCACTGGCTTCATCTGGTGATTTTCCAGTGTCTTCCAGGTTGGAGTGGGGGATAAAGAGGATCCAGGGAGGTGCCTGGGGCCACGCACAGGGCCTGGGGGGTTACAACCCAGCCTTGGCCTGTGCTGCTGGCCGAGCAGAGCGGTCCTCCGTGACGGCCAGAGAAGGGACGTGGGAGGGGCCGCTCCGGAGAAATACTTTTTGGCAAGCGCTGTCAACTTGCCGGTTTAGACAGGAAAGGCCGATGACGGAAGCAGAACAGGTAGGTACGGGAGCTCTGGCCAGGCTGGAGGCTGATCTGCATTCAGTTGAGGCGCCTCCCAAAAGGGAAACTCACGTTTCCAGGAAACACAGCCCATAGGCTCTGGTGTTTTCTGATGGGCAGGGAAACGCTCTCACGTGA